GTCCTGGACCTGATAGCTTAAAACTCATGTGGGGTGCATGTGTGTGCATGCCTAAAATCCCAAGAGGAAAACAGAGAAGCGACTGCAGCATGGCCATCCTCCGTTGGGGTGATTCCTTGCTTTCTGTCTCTGTCTCTCTGGTGAGCACACACACCCTATAGCAAAAATCTTTCTTTAAAAAAAAAAAAATATATATATATAGTAATCTGGGCCAGCAGGTGGCATAGTAGTTACAGTACTGAATCCCACACATGGCAAACTCTGCGGTTTGAGTCCTAGATCCAATGGCTTGAGAAACACACCACACATATATGCATGTGTACCCTAGCCTACAGTAATCAAGGCAAGACAATATTGGAAAATGAATACACAAATAAATTAAGGGAACAGAAGAGTCCAGAAATTGACCCACACAAATACAGTCAACCGGTTTTTTTGTTTTGTTTTGTTTTGTTTTGTTTTTTGTAACTGTGTAAAAGCAAGTCAATGAAGAAAGGAAAATCTTCAACAAATGGTTTTATCACCTACATCAATCCAAGTTCTTTGAATATTTATATCTATCTCAAAATCGTCTACTTTTCTCACTTCTATCACCACCTCCTAGCCTAAATTACCATCATCTCTCTTTTAGCTGCTATGATTGCCTGGGTAGACTTAATTGTTCTACCTCAATATACTATTCTCTATCATGCAAGCCAAATAACCTTTTAGAAATGCAAATTTGATCAAGTCACTCCCTGCTAAAATTATTTAGAGCTTCCTAGTCTTAGGATAAATACAAAATTCCTTTTATTTTATAAGCCTTGAACAACCAGGCCACTACTACCTAACTCTAGCATTGCCTTGAACTATATTCTTCCTTTAATTCTCATGATGTACTCACCATCTTTCCTCTTCTATTAAAGAATATTGGTACATAATATTTCCTCCACTTAATATACTATTTACATCTTTCTCCAGATTTCCATTCAATCTTTTATTTTTTTCAAAATAAGTCTACCTTGGGACCAGCAGGTGGCATAACAGTTATGTTGCTAGAATCCCATGTATTTGACCCAGACCCAGTAACTTAAAACTCACACCAGGTCACACGTGTGTGTGCCTAAGATCCCAAGAGTAAAGGCGAGGAGAAGGGATTGAGGTGTGGCCATCCTCCCTGGGGGATTATTTCTCACTTTGTCTCTGTCTATCCAGCAAGTGCATGCACCCTACAGCAAAAATCTCTCCAAAAAAAGTCTATCTTAGGGCCCACAGGTAGCATAGTGGTTAAGGCACTGGATTCCCATATGGTCGACCACATTTCAAGTCCTGGATCCAGCAGTCTGAAATTCACACCAGGTACATGTATGTGTGTGCCCAAAATCCCAAGAGGAGAATGGAAGAGAAGGAACTGTGGTATGGCCATCTGCCTTGAAGAATGATTTTCCACTTTCTCTCTCACTGTCTCTTTCTCTCTTCCCTGAGCAAGCGCTTAAGTCCTATGGCAAAAACGTTTTTAAAAAAAAAAGTCCATCTTGACCTATTTTAGATCCCTTTATTATAGGCTCCATGGTATTAGGAATACTTTAGTACCCTTGTCATCATCGTATTACATTTCAATGAGTGCTTATATTTAAGTGTGAATATTTAATGACTGTAGTACCATGAAGGTGGGATAGCCATCCATTTGCCCCTCTACTGCAACCCCATAGTATAAAATAATTTGAACTCAAAAGATGTTTGTTCAGGGAACCAGCAGTTAGCGTAATGGCTATGTCACTGGACTCCCACGTAGTCTACCGTGGTTCGCGTCCTGGACCCGGTGGCTTAAAACTCACGCCGGGCGTGTGTGCGTGCGTGCCCAAGATCCCGAGAGGAGAATGGAGGAGAAGGGATTGCGGCGTGACCATCCCCTCGGAGGGTGACTTCTCGCTTTCTGTCCCTATGTCTCTCTGTCTGTCTGGCCAAGCGCACATGCCCTATAGCAAAAACCTCTCCAAAAAAAAAAAAAAGTTTGTTCAAAGAGTAAGTGGATTACTTTACTTATTTCTCACAACCACCCCATGAAAAATATACAACTAACATTTTCCCTATTTCATAGATGGAAAAATTGAAATGTCAAGAGTTTATATAAATTGTTCCATGTCATATAGTTATCAAGTAAAAAGTTAAATACCACCATTCAAGCCTTCCAATCATAAGGACCAAGATATTAATTATTTAATATTATTGTTCATATGTAACAAAGCAAATTAGTCATTGTCCATAAGAAAATCATTATATTGAAAATAATGCTCTAATAATCATTTGACAAATATTTATAAAGTGCTTACAAAGTGTCAGCCACTGTATTAAGTACTAAGATTGCAGATTAAGTAGGACATGAGCGCTAAAGCCCTTAGTGGAGCATACATTTAATTCCATTATTTATTTATTGAGCACCTGTTATTGACATCTACTGTGCTAAGGGGGCCTCTAAATGACAAATAAAGCCTTAAATAATTACACTGAAATAAATTAATTTCACTTATAATAAATATTATGAAGGAAAAATTCAGAGTACTATGAAAGTAAGTCATACAAATCTAGCCTGGAGTGTCAAGAGAGGTTTTCTAAAGCAGTGACATTTAAAATGAGATTTGAGAGGGCCAGCAGGTGGTGTGTTGGTTAAGGGTGCTGGACTCCCACATGGCCGACCATGGTTCAAGTTCTGGACCTGGCAACTTGGTTTCTCACTTTCCCTTTCTCTCTCTCAATCTGTCCTTCTCTGGTCAAAATAAAATAAATTAAAAGTTAAATAAAATAATTTTTAGAAAAGAAAGAGATTTGAGGGACCAGTAGGTGGTGTAATGGTCACCTCACTGGACTCCCATGTTGTCAACCACAGTTCAAATCCCGGACCTGGTGGTTTAAAACTCACACTGAGTACATGCATGCACATGCCCAAAATTCTGAGAGGCGAATGGAGGAGAAGGGATTGCAACATGGCCATCTGTTCTATGGGGTGATTTCTCACTTTCTTTCTCTTTGTCTCTCTGTCTCTCTGACAAGGGCACATGCCCTATGGCAAAAATCTCTCTAAAATAAATAAATAAATAAATAGAGACTTGAACTACACATTAGCAAATTTAAAAGCAATATAAGAGCCAGCCAGTGGATTGATAACTAAGGCACTGGATCCCACATGACTGGCTATGTGGTTCAAGTGCCAAACCCAGAAGCTTGAAAAAACACACCGGGCACACAAGTGTGCATGCCCCAAATCCCAAGGGAATGGAAGACAAGGGATTGTGATGTGATAATCTCCCTGAAGGAGGTCATTTCTCTCTCTCTCTCTCTCTCTCTCTCTCTCTCTCTCTCCCTCCCTCCCTCCCTCTCTGGCAAGGACATGTGCCCTATAGCAAATTTTAAAATTAAAAAAGACACTACAGAGATGGCATAGTGGTTACATCGCATAGTGACCATGGTTCAAGTCCCAGACCCGGCAGCTTAAAACTCACACCAGGCACATGTGCATGTATGCTCAAAACCCCAAGAGGAGACTGGAGAAGAAGGGACTGCATATGGCCATTTCCCCTGGGAGGTGATTTCTCTCTTTCTCTCTCTCCAGAAGCATATGTGCCCTATAGCAAAAATCTCTCAATAAAGAGACAATATAAAACATTGTTAGGAGTTGTTAAGTATTTGTGCAAAAACAATTCAGTGGGTAAAGAATAAGCATTTGGAAATAATGCTTCTTAAGAGATGGAAGGACTAAGAGTTGCAAACTCAAATAGACATGTGGTAGGTAAATACAAAATCAAGTATCTATAGTCATAAACAGTATGATATTCTATTCCATAGGCCAGCCAACTACAGTCTGAGAGACAAATTTGGTCAATGGACTCTTGAATGGACCACTGAGCTGAGAATGGTTTTTACAAAGTTGTTAAAAATGAAGAGAGAAGGCAATGGAGGCAAAGAAAGAGAAAGAAAAAATTAACAGAGAACATACATCACCTACAAAGTCTATTTAGTAGCTAGTCCTCTACAGAAAAATGTTGCCAAACCTTGCTATATATACTCTGCAATAAATTAAAATATAATGAAGCTTGGGACCAGAAGTTAGCATAATGGCTATGTCACTGAACTCCCATGTAGTCGACCACGTTTCAAGTCCTGGACCCGGTGGCTTAAAACTCACGCCGGGCGCGTGTGCGTGCATGCCCAAGATCCCAAGAGGAGAAGGGATTGTGGTGTGGCCATCCCCTCTGGAGGGTGATTTCTCACTTTCTGTCTCTCTGTCTGTCTCTTTCTGGTGAGCGCACACGCCCTATAGCAAAAACCTCTCAAAAAAAAAAAAAAATATATATATATAATGAAGCCTTAGCCTACAAATAGATTAAACATGATTGTACCTGAACATTAAATATAGGTACTGAAAAGGTATCCTGTATTTTTTTTTCAAAATTGCATACTTGAGGCTGAGATATCAAAGGCACAACATCCAAAAGTACCACATTTATGATCAGCTACAAAAATGTATTTGGTCTTGGGACAGCAGTTAAATGACTATGTCACTGGACTCTCATGTAGTCGACTGCAACTCGTGTCCTGGACCTAGTGGCTTAAAACTCACGCCGGGCGCGTGTGCGTGCATGCCCAAGATCCCAAGAGGAGAAGGGATTGTGGTATGGCCATCCCCTCTGGGAGTGATTTCTCACTTTCTGTCTCTATATCTCTCTCTGTCTGTCTGGCGAGCACATGCACCCTATAGCAAAAATCTCTCAAAAAAAAGTGTATTTGGTCTTATTTAAATATGCCACCAACACATAGTCAACTAATAACACACTGACCAAGACAGTTAACGAGATATATAAATATTGGTATAGATAAGAATTGTTTACTTAAAAACAAATAAAATTTTTGTTATTTTAGCTGAAAAATTAGCATAAACATCTACAGTGTAAGAGTCTACAGCAATGGGTTTAACATTTTGAAAAGTAATGGCTATATCTTAACAGGAAATACTATATACTTACCAAGACTTTTCTCAATTCTTCAAGTTCTACTTCTTGATTATTTTTAAACTTAGTCATCTCTTCTAAAATAAATAAAAGAACATAAACATTTTAAAACCTGATTTAAAGAATATGAAAGAAAAGAAACAAGAACACCATAGAAGGGCTGGCTAGCAGGTAGTATGGGATCCAGATAGCCAATTGTGCAGTTCGAATCCCAAACCAGGAGGCTTGAAACACATGCTGGTGTGTGTGCATGCATGCCCAAGGTCCTGAGAGAATGGAAGAAAGGGGATCATAGTATGGCCAATTTCCCTGGGGAAAGATTTATCACTCCCCCACCCACCCACATCTGTCTCTCTGGTGAACGTATCCGTCCTATAGCAAAAATTAAAGAAAAAAGAAGAATATCATGTGAAAGGAAAATATTAAACAACACATTAATGCGTTCGAATACTGAAAAGCACAGGGAGACCAACTCTATGCAAAAATAGTAGTCACAGTGAAGTTTCTAGAAAGCTAATTCCGCATCCAAATGAGGAAAAGGGATTGCGTGCGGCATGGCCATCCCCCCTGGGGAGTGATTTCTCACTTTCTGTCTGTCTTTCTGGCAAGTGCACGTGCCCTATTGCAAAAATCTCTCCAAAAAAAAAAAAAAAGAGTAGAAGTGGAGAAGTGGGATAAGATGCTATTAAAATGGCCCAGTTGTGAGAGAGTAACTTTTAAAAATGGAAACATATCACATTTCTTCTATTAATTCTTTTTTGTAATTTATTTATTTTACATTCATTCACTGAATATCATCACAGCATACAAAATGCAATTTCCCATACAGAATACACTGTATAATAGCTTAATCATACATGTTATCATCAACAAATAATTTTCCACTTCTTTTGTGTACACACACACACACACACACACACACACACAGAGTGATCATTAAATAGCTTTTTTTTTTTTTTGAGAGGTTTTTGCCATAGGGAAGTCCAGCCATTATGCCATCTGCTGGTCCCTAAATAGATATTTTTTAATATATTTTTAATTTCAAGAAAGGAAGGTTTAGCTTTAATAAATCAGAATCAAAAAATGTTGAGTACTTTGCTTAAGACTTAAAGCCAGGAAACAGGTTAGGATTCTGTTCAAATAGTAGATACATAAACCTATTAGCAACTCAAGAGAAGACAAAAATCCCCAAATCTGAAAAACAAAGCATAGAAAAAAATCAGTAATGTTTTAGTCAGAAGTCATAAAATTCTATTTCACCAGTTCAGTCTCATGTACTTAAATCTATTTTCTCTGTGGTCCAATCTTTCCATTTAAGTTCTAGAAGATAATATTCAACCACGGATTAGTCCCTATCATTAAGTTGGCCATTTTCTTAGTCGTTTTTGAACTCTCATTTCTGTGTGTATTTAGTTTTCCTGATACAGCACTCCCTTCAGAACTTCTTGTAGAGCTCATCTGGTATCAATATATTCTTTCAGGTTTTGTTTATATGAGAATGTTCTCGTCTTTTCTTCCTATATGAAGGATGATCTTGCTGAGTATAGTATTCTTGGTTGAAATCGTTTCTCATGGGACCAGCAGTTGGCATAATGGCTATGTTGCTGGACTCCCATGTAGTTGACTACGGTTTGAATCCCAGACTCGGTGGCTTAAACTCATACTGGGCGTGTGTGCATGCGTGCCCAAGATCCCGAGAGGAGAATGGAGGAGAAGGGATAGCAGCGTGGCCATCACCCCTGGGGGGTGATTTCTCACTTTCTGTCTCTCTGACTCTCTTTCTGGAGAGTGCACATGCCCTATAACAAAAACCTAAAATAAATAAATAAATAAATAATTTTTTTACTCAACACTTTAAATATATTTTCCCATTCTTTCCTTTCTCATATTGTTTCCGATGAGCAGTCCATTGTTAGCCTGATGGGATATCCTTTGTAGGTAACTTGACATTTCTCTCTTGCCAATCTTATTATCTTGTCCTTGTCTGCAGTTTTGGTCAATCTGGTTATGATGTACCGTGGCAAAGATCTTTTTGGGTTGATTCTATTTGGGGTCCTTTTTATTTCTTGAGTCTGGATCTTTGAATGCCTCTCTAAATTTGGGAAGTTTTCTCCCAGGATTTCATGGAATAAATTATCAATGTCCTTATTAGTTTCTTCACCTTCTGGGATACCGATTATTCAGAGGTTTGGACATTTAATGGTATCTAGTATTTCTCGTATATTACTTTCACTTTGGGGGACTATTTTCTCAGTCTTTGTGGTGGATTTTTCTAGTCCAGCAATTCTGTCTTCTACATCTGAGATTAGATCTTCTCAATGATCTAGCCTTCTTTTAATACTTTCAAGGGAGGTTTTGATTTCCTGTATTACAACCTTCATCTCTATAAGTTTGATTCTTTTTTATGGTGAGTATTTCCTCTTTTAAATCATGCAAGAATTTTTTCACCTCCTGAAACTCATTGTCTCCTTTGTCTGCATCCTCTGGAGTTCATTGTCTCTCTTCTCTTGCATCTCTGTTAGCTTTATCACTGTGGATATTCTAAATTCTTTATCAGACATTTCTGTGAATTCCATTGTACTGTGTGTGGATGAAGAAGAGGGTTTTTTTTTTTTTTTTTTTTTTTTTTTATCTTTGGGGGAGAGACATTTTCTTGGTTTCTCAGATATTTCTTGTGCCTTTGTGGTGATTTCTGGTCATCTGAAGAGTTATACGTTTCTTCCTGAAGTTCAATCTGAGCATTCAGAGGCGTGCAGGAAGAGCTGATCTGCAAACTCACTGCCGCTCAATTTTTCTCTCTTTGTGTGGCAAGTTAGTCAGAACTGAGGAACATTCTGACCCTAATAGTTTTCAGATGTTTGGCTTTGGTTCACTTAAACCTGTCTAGACATTCAGAGCATGGAGAATGAGCAGCAAGTGGTGAAGGTAAAAGAAAAAGGGAAAGAAACAGAGAAAGAAAAAATATATACCAAAAAAAAAAAATCTATTTAATTTTTTTTCATGCAAAAGCACTAGTTCCAGCTCCTAGATGAGAGAAGTTCCGGAAAGATGAGAATTAGTAAGAGAAAGGAGAATCTGAGAGCCCCAAAAAAACTTTACCTTAAAAAAAATAATTTTTTTTAATGAAAAGACAGAAGGATACAGTGGGGGCGCTACCACTTGTGAATGAGGTTGGAGGGTGAAGTCTCAGCAGAAAAATCTTCATTACTTTATTAGCTCTCTTGATGGGTTCATTAATTTGATAATTTGTCTTCTTTAGCTCTGAAATTCTTCCTTCCATTAACTCTGGACCTATCCTGCGTATTTCTCTTTTAACTTTATTTTTTAAAAATTTTATTTATATATTCCATTACAGAGAAAGAGAGAAAGGAGAGACAGGTACCTCCCATAGCATGAGGAGGAGCCTGTTGAGTTCCTCATGCTATGATCTACCCAGCCTCAGTCAGCCTGGAATATGAGCACACACACAAATCCAGCAATGTACACAGTAGTCCTAAACGGAGAACCAGGACCTTCCCATGTAGACCCAGTTTTGTTTCCACTGTACTATCTGATTTATCTCCCCATACTCATTTCACTTTTCTCTCACTTTTTACACTTGGTCACAAAGCCTTTTAGTCAGTCAATGCAATGAACCAAGCACCTTCATATCTCAGAACTTATTTTTATGTTTTCCCTTCTGACTGAAAAACTCTCTACAAACCCTATGTCCACTTAATATTTTAAATCTTGCTTATTTTTTAAGTCTCTAAGGAATGTCATCCAACCACTAAATCCAAAATAAATCCTTATTATTTTCATACATTGCACCATTTCTATTTCCTTCAGAACACTTTACCCCAATTTATAATTAAATATTTATTCATGACTATCTGTTTTCATATGTCTCTACAAATAGTGTAAAAATTTCATAAGAACAAAGACTATGTCTGTTATATTCCTCATTATATACCCAAAATTGGAAACAGAAAGATTTGAATAAAAAAAAAACTTTTGAGAATTCAAGCTATTGGTCAAAGATGTCAGGTCCACACCTCATGCCAAGATATGCAGAGCAGGATGCATCTGGTAGTGCATAGATAAAAAGTGTTTTTAGGGCTGAGGCAATTGAGGGAATGACAGAATAACACTCTAAGCAAGATAAGACATCAAGGGGGACAGCTCCATGGTCTGGTGGTTAAGGTGGCCAAATTCCACATTGCTGACTGCTTGGTTTCTGTCCCAGACCCAGAAGCTTAAGAGTCATGCCAGATGCATAACTGTGTGTGCTCAAAATATGAAGGGAGGGTGAGATGGAGGCAAAGGAATTATAGCACGACCATTCCCTGTGGGAAGTACTTTCTCCTCTTCTCTGTCTCTGGTGAGTACGTATGCCCTCTAGGGGAAAAATAAATGAATTTAAAAATTTAAATAAATAAGTAAAGGAAGGAAGGAAGAAAGAAAGTAAAGTGTAACCAGAAGACAAGGTAGTAAGAATGAGGGCTATCAGAGTAAGATAGGTTACAACGGGAACCAGCAGTTAGTGTAATGGCTATGTCGCTGGACTCCCACGTAGTCGACCGCGGTTCGTGTCCCGGACCCGGTGGCTTAAAACTCACGCTGGGCGCGTGTGCGCGCGTGCCCAAGATCCCGAGAGAAGAATGGAGGAGAAGGGATTGCGGTGTGACCATCCCCCCTGGGGGGTGATTTCTCGTTTTCTGTCTCTATGTCTCTCTCTGTCTGTCTGGCGAGTGCACACGCCCTATAGCGAAAACCTTTGGAAGTTGTACTGGTTTGCTTCCTGGGATCCTATGAGGAAAAAGGGGGAAACAATGGTGAACTAGAGGTGTCACCTTTGGACTATGGCATGAGATAAGGATGTGTGATCTAACTAACTAAGGGCTTACAAATTCTGCCTGGGGAAAGCTCTCCCTCTCTGAAGCAATAGCTCCATCATGGCCATAGGGTTGGCAGTAGGTGGTGAGTCAGGTCCTTGATGCCCACCTCTTTGGAAAGGAAGCCACCAGACCATGAATTCTGGACTAAATGTCTTTCATCAGGAATGGAAGCAATGGGCACATCTGACTTTAACTTGCATAATGAATAAGTGATAAAAAACAAAACAACGGGAACCAGCAGTTAGTGTAATGGCTATGTCGCTGGACTCCCACGTAGTCGACCGCGGTTCGTGTCCCGGACCCGGTGGCTTAAAACTCACGCTGGGCGCGTGTGCGCGCGTGCCCAAGATCCCGAGAGAAGAATGGAGGAGAAGGGATTGCGGTGTGACCATCCCCCCTGGGGGGTGATTTCTCGTTTTCTGTCTCTATGTCTCTCTCTGTCTGTCTGGCGAGTGCACACGCCCTATAGCGAAAACCTCTCTTAAAAAAAAAAAAAGAAAGGAAAAGCAAATAGAATCAATAAATACCACAAAAGATGAGTAAAAATTAAGATAAATGAGGGTATTAGGAATCATGGTTTGATTATTAATCTGACAAATATAATTCGTGTCCCACTATTTCCTTCAGATGCTTCCTGTACTAGGCTAAGAGATTGTGCCTGAAACCCCAAACCCAAAACAGAGGAAAATGGAGACTTGAACTAGTCTAGGACTGTGGGGATAAGGGAAAATGTAGATTCAAAAAAGATATTCTAGAGTTGGATACTGGAGCCAGCAGGTAGCATAGCAGTTAAGGCACTGAACTCTCATGTGGCTGACAGTGCTTCAAGTCCCAGACTTGGCACCTTGAAAATTACACCGGGTGTATGTGTGTGTATGCCCAGATCACAGGAGAAGAATAGAGAAAGGATTGCCATGTGTCCATTCCCCTGAGGAGTAATTTCTCACTTTCCTCCTCACTGTCTTATCTTTCTCTGGCAAGTGAATGCACCCTATGGCAAAAACCTTAAAAAAAATAAATAAAAGTAAGATATTAACAGAAACAGCAGTACTAGATAACCAACTAGAAGTGAATTGTTAGGGAGAAAGAAGAATGCAAAATATCATCTGGTTTCTGGTTTTCACAACTATACCATAAACCAAAGAAGGAACAAAACTAAGGTTGAGTACCCCTGTCATTGTTAAAGCTACTCTTCAATGCATAATGGTGTCTATACCACATCATCCTCTAAAACTAACCAGTAGTACAATAAAATCTACCTTTATTAAAGCTTATTTATTTCTCCTATGAGAGAGCCAAAAAAAGACACAGGCACTCCCAACAAAGTCTTCATTCCATTACCCACCCCTTAATCTCAACCAACCCATATCACAGGCACATATCACATATGAACACCTTCATTCCATTACCCACCCCCATTCTCACCCAGTCCATATCACAGACTATATCACATATATACACCTGACATGCTCTAGAAGGTTCTAGGATATAAACATAAGACCCTTCCCATGTAGGTCCAGTTGTACTACTGTGTGCCACTATCTAGACCTAAAGTCTACTTTTAAAATCTACCTCTTCTACAATATATAAAAGTCTTTCCCAACCCTGTAATATACACTGATATCTTTGGCTTCAAGGTTACAAAAGAAAGTCAAAGCAAATAAAATCAATAAATACCACAAAAGATGAGTAAAAATTAAGATAAATGAGGGTAATATGAATCATGGTTTGATTATTATAATCTGACAAATACAATTTGTGTCCCACTCTGTCCTTCATATGCTTCTTGCACTAGGCAAGATTTAAAATATTAAGTGGACATACAATATCAGCATTAACATACCTACATCAATAAGAAATCTGTAAGCATTCACCCCAAATATGTATAAATAAAATACAACTATGTATTATATATATTTATAAAGTATAAATATTTATTATAATATTATTCAATACAAAATAGAAACATAGAATTCTAACATTTTTTCCCTTACTGTAATGGAATTACTGCTCATTCCTTCATTTTGGACACCACTGCTCTAAAGAATTCATGTGTTCAAACTTTCTCCCAAAATAATTTGAGACTTCTTAAGAACATGGATGGTATCTTATTTCTTGTATATTTTCCCACAACATATAAAACAATGCTGAAGATACGTTTTACAATTCTAGAATTCCTTATTTAAACTTCTCATAATGCAGTACAACTTAAATTTGAATATAACAAGTAACAGTCATTTAATCTCAATATTAAACTGAATTGCTATAAATATTCATTAAAGAAACTTTAAGGATCATGGCCCAGCTACAGTGGATCAGGCAGTAAAGTGCTGGTACAAAACACTGGAGAACTATGTAAGGACCTGGCTTCAGATCCCAGGTTAATTTGAAAATGCAAGTCATGCCCATGATATTGACTAGAAGACTGGGTCGGGGATCACAGAGAGGAAAAATCCTGTCAAGTGTATCAATGACTGTATGTATATGGTATGTGAGTGTATGTACGTATATAGTATGTGAGTGTATGTGCATGATAAAAGAAGTAAACTGCAAAAAGGTTTTTCTTTTCTATAGGGCAACTGCGCTCACCAGAAAGACAGAGAGACAGAAAGCAAGAAATCATCTCCCGGGTGGGATGGCCACACCACAATCTCTTCTCCTTCATTCTCCTCTCGGGATCTTGGGCATGCACGCACACGCGCCTAGCCTGAGTTTAAGCCACGGGGTCCAGGACACAAACTGCAGTCGATTACATGGGAGTCCAGCAACATAGCCATTATGTTAATGCTGGCCCCAAAGAAAAGGTATTTTAAGGATCAAAATGATTCCTTAGTCTACCATATTCAACTGAACAGTTCTAAAGGGCTTTTTAAAAACTATGTTCTGGAGCCAGAAGGTGGCATGGTTGTTAAGGTGCGGGACTCTCACATGGCCAACCACAGTTCAAGTTGTGGACCGAAAGGACTATTTCCTCACTCATTCGCTTGCTCTCGCTCTCGCACTCACTCTCTCGCTCTCTCTCTCTCTCTCTCTCTGGTGAGTACCTGTGTCCTACAGCAAATTAAAGAATAAAAATAAAATGAAAGGGAAAAAAAAAGGTCTAAAAGAAGATCTAAAAGTTAGATGAGGAATATATTTACAATTATTAACAAAGTGATACAAATAATGGGACCAGCAGTTAGCATAATGGCTGTGTCGCTGGACTCCCATGTAGTCAACCGCAGTTTGAGTCCCAGACCCAGTGGCTTGAAACTCACGCCGGGCACATGTGCATGCATGCCCAAGATCCCGAGAGGAGAATGAAGGAGAAGGTATTGCAGTGTGGCCATCCCCCCTGAGGGGTGATTTCTCGCTTTCTGTCTCTCTGTCTCTGTCTGTCTGGCAAGTGCACACGCCCTACAGAAAAAAACCTCTCAAAAAAAAAAAAAGTGATACAAATAAAATTATTTGCAATAGATAGTACAATTTTGGTTGATCAAGGGTTAACCTACAGTGGAAAATCAAGCATGGCAAAAGGAAAAAAATAAATATGGTTAAAAGTTCAGCAGTCAAACTACTTATAAAATATTAAGCAAATTATTTCAGACACTAGATTATAACAACTGCAATTAATTTAATTATACAAAATTTCTTTGGTTTTAATTTATGATTTAATTATAATTTATAATTTATTCAATTATACCAAAATTCTTCCAATTCATGGCTTTTAATTAATAAAAATAATTCTTTTCACTGAAATTGGGAAGAAATATTTTATATCTTTGTAATTCTCCATATCTATAGATAAGATTTATAAATATGAAGCATAAGTTATTAGAATTACCTAACTAAATGGCCATAAATTCATAAAATAACTACAGGATTTCTCTTTTGGCCATGAAAGTCACTGAATATTAACCCATACGATAAAATAGGATTACATGAGGCCAACAGGTGGTATGGTGGTTGAGGTGCTGGACTGTCACATGCCCAACCGTGGATTGAGTCCCAGACCTGGCAGTTTGCTTCCTTACTTTCCCTTTTTCTCTCTCTGTCTCTTTGGTCAAGTTAAGATAATAATAACAACAACAACAACAACTGGAAGGACCAGCAGATGGCATAATGGTCACGACACTAGACTCCCACATGGCCAAGTCCTGGACCCAGTGGCTTCAAACTCATACTGGGCATGTGTACATGCATGCCCAAAATCCCGAGAGGAAAATAGAGAATGGACTGCAGCATGACCATCCCCCCGAAAGGATGATTTCTCACTTTTTGTCTCCCAATTTCTGACTCTGTCTCTCCAGTGAGCACATGTGCCCTACAGAAAAATTGCTCTAAAAATAATAATGGTGATGATAACAACAACAAATGGAAATAAATAAATAAATAAATGTTTTGGGGAAAAAAATCCCATTTTTATATAAGTAGTTGATTATCCAATATGACTAAGCAGTGAAATTCAAAACTAAAAATGTAACAGACATTTGTCACTAGAAATTATTAAAGTCTCTGAATCTCAAATAAGGAAAAGAGAATCCATATTTCTCTTAGGCTTTTTAAATTTCTGGATATCTATTACCTGCATAACAAAACTGAATAGTTTTCCGTACGGTTTTAATTTTCTATCTTAAAAAAATTGTTTTTAAATTATCCAATAATTACTACTGAAAAATGATAAAGGAAAAATGATATTATTCTGGAATAGTGCTTATGTTTTTATAACTAATATTATAAAAATACATATATTATTCTCTAAATCTTACCCAGTTCATTTGATTTCTTCTGAAGCTCCATGGTAAGTATTTTCAATTGATCTTCATTTTTTCCCAACCTTGTAAAATATGTTATTTTACAATTACAAATATTATTTTATTTGTAATCATTTATCCACTCAATTCTTCAAACATTTACTGAGTACCTACTTTGTGCTGATGGTGTAACATTTTAAAATAAGATATTACTATTATAAATACATAATTGTATATTAATTATATCTACATAAAATTTCAGAGCTTATGGTTATGATCTGTCTCTTATTTATTAATGATCATCAAATAAATGCATCCTAAAACTTTAAAAGACATCGAAAGGAGCCAAGAGGTGGTGTGATGATTAAGGGTGCTGGACTCCCACATAGCCAACCACAGTTCGAGTCCCAGACTTGGGCGGCTTGCGCGCACACTCTCTCTCTCTCTCTCTCTCTCTCTCTCTCTCTCTCTCTCTTTCTGGTAAAATAAAAATAAATAAATAAATAGTTAAATAAAATAGTTTTTTTAACAAAACAAAAGACATTGGGCATAAAACCACTATTATAATGAATTTTCTCTTAGAAACAATATAAATATGAGAATGTGTATAATTTCCTTAACTTCTTTGGTTTTCTGTCTCCTCAAACTATAAAATTTAAATAATTGGTACTGAATAATCTAAAATTACTTATCATTTTAAAATATGAAAATCACCTGAATAGGTCAATCAAGAATATGTAAGATCAGAAGAGTTAGAAAGCTAGTCTTTCTTACCTCACCATGCAGTAAAGAAATACTACTATGGGGGCCACCATATGGTATAGTAGTTACATCACTGGACTCCCACATGGCTAACTATGGTTCAAGTCCCAGAACCAGTAGCTTGAAACTCATGTCAGCCACATGTATATGCATACCCCAAGATCCTGGGAAGAGAATGGACAAGGGATTGCAATGTGGCCAAGCCCCCTGAACAGTGATTTCTCACTTTCCCTTTCACTGTCTCTGACTCTGGCAAATCCATGTGCTCTATGGCAAAAACCTCTTAAAAAAAAAGAAAGAAAGAAACAGTACTATGTCCAGACCATAACTTCAGAGATGAATCTGTTCTCCTTTATCCTATCAAATGTAATTAAACCTAATGCTAAAGTGGCAAAATAATGAGGTAGGCCTCATAATTCAACTTTATCTGAATAGTTCCTTAATATAAAATAGTGAAAAAGAAAGCAATATTTAACAGTCAAGTGTTAAATAAACTGCTATTTACATGAAATGCAAATAAATATTTTACATTTAGTTCACTGTATTCACTAATTTAATAAATATATAGTAGTACCAACTCTATACAATGCTAGTTGCTAAATTTATAAATTAGAAAGAAAGTTACAGATGCCAGTAAAACAAATACCACAGCCCAGTAGTTATTTCTATAAAGCTAATAATAATCTATAATTTCCTCAAGCATGTTATATCACTGCATCAGCACCTATGAACTTGTCTGTGTAATTGACCCTACGATATAAAGCATGCATAGAAATTATCCTAGATCAGGACCAGCAGTTGGCGTAATGGCTATGTCCCTGGACTACCATGTAGTCGACTGCAGTTTGAGTCCCAGACCCAGTGGCTTAAATTCACGTCAGGTGCGTGTGTGTGCATGCGTGCCCGATCCATTCTCCAAGTGGACAATGGAGAAGGTATTGCTGTGTGGCCATGCCCCCTAGGGGGTGGTTTCTTGCTTTCTGTCTGTCTTTCTGGAGGGAACACGCACCTTATAGCAAAAATCTCTCCAAAAAAAAAAAATAAAATAAAATAAAAAATAAAATAAATTATCCTAGATAATACTTGCTTTAAAATCTTTTCATAGGGTACCTGCCTACCCACACAAACTTTTAAAATGTTTTCCCACATTATACATTAAAAAAAGATTCTTGATTACTATTGTATAGGGATTATACATCAGTCAACAATGAACAGAAAATGGCACTATCAGCAGTAACTCGTTTTATTCATTTATTTTATCTATTATTAAAAATAAAAGAGACAAGCAGATAGCATAATGGTTATGTCACTGGACTCATACGTAGTTAATCATGGTTCAAATCCCAGACCCAGTGACTTAAAACACACCAGGCACATGTGTGTGTGTGCCCAAAATACCAAGGGGAGAACAGAGAAGAAGGGACTGTGGTGTGCCCATCACCCTAGGGGGTTGACTTCTTGCCTTCTGTCACTCTGTCTTTGTCTTTCCAACAAAAGCACACACCCTACAGCAAAAACCTCTCTAAAAAAGTTAAAAAAAAAAAAAAAGAAAAGAAAAGAAAAAAAACATGGGGCTGGTCCCACAGCCTAGTGGTTATGGGAGCCAGATCTCACAGGATCAGCAGCAATTAAAATTCCAGCCCCTGTAGCTTGAAAAACATACCAAGCAAGTGTGTATGTGTACCCAAAAACCCAACAAGATAGAGAAACTGAAGAGAAGGGACTGTGGCACCCACTGGGGTGCTTTCTCCCTCTCCTCTTTCTGTCTTTCTCTCTGGCAAACACATGTGCCTTCTAGTAATTCAAAAAAAAAAAAAGAAAAAAGAAGGAAAAAATATTTTACCTTTGCTGTTCTGTTTTCAATGATTCCTTCAAGTTGCAGATGGTAGTCTTAAATTCAGTAACTACAAATGAATGAGCAGCTTTTGCTTTATTAGATTCTTCCATCTGAGTTTCTTTTTCTGAAGTGAGCTGATTTATTGTTTTTTTTGCTATTTGTAAATCTTCCTCTAAAGCCTTCTGAGTACTCTAAAAGAAAGTACAAAACAAAAGCAATGACCCAAAGGCATGAAGAAAAAAAAGCTAAACTCATCTGTAAATTTGCTGTCCCTTCTTCCTTCCACATCTTCCTACCCATCAGTCTTCCTCCTCTCCCTGAATACTCTGTACTCACTATTTTTTTTTTTTTTTGAGAGGTTTTTGCTATAGGGCGCTTGCGCTCGCCAGACAGACAGAGACAGAAAGTGAGAAATCACCCCCCCCCCCAGGGGGGATGGCTACACTGCAATCCCTTCTCCTCCATTCTCCTCTTGGGATCTTGGGCACATACACACACGTGCCCGGCATGAGTTTAAGCCACCAGCTCCGTAACTTGAACCACGGTCAACTACATGGGAGTCCAGCAACATAGCCATTACGCTAACTGCTGGTCCCTGTACTCACTACTCTTATTTCAATTACCATTCTTCAAATCCCACCTATCATTCCAACTACTCCATGGAGTGAGTCTTCCTAGCCAATCCAGCCCATAGTGCTCTTTCAATTCTTAGAACTAGTATAGCAATTTATGGCCTGAATCACTCTGTTGGTTCAAGCATAGTCTTATATTTTAGTCATACTTCTTATTTTTATCCAATATCTCTAAACTATCAGCATTTTGTAGACTGTGATCATGTCATCTTTATTTGAAGCTCTGGGTCCTTGTACATAGTATTAGCATTTGATAAGTATTTGTTGACTGATTTACAGGGTGAGATTTATTATGCACTAATCAGTTTTTAAATCATACCAAACTTCCTTGCAAGGACATTTTAGTATCTTCTAGTTCTGATGTCAAATGATCCTGCTTCTCATTTGATTCTTTTAAATTTTCATTCTGTAATTCTAAAGAGAAAGTTATAGATATGTAGTACTTAGCAGAAAATACATACCAAGAAAACTAATTGAACATAACAGTTACTTTTTCCTCCATTAGAGAAAAGTCTAAAATGAGAAAGAAGTACATACATGTAGACACACTAATTGATCACCATTAATTTCTATTGACTTTTCAAGATTGTTACTTCCCAAGAACTCAGCGATGATTAAGGATTTTCAGTGGTGCGTTTTTAATAATTTTTTTAAAAACATTAGAAACCACCTAAAAACCTGAAAGTGACCATATTAAATTACAATGGTATAAATATGAGATGCCATTTATAATGTAGCCACTAAAAGTGATAATACAGACCTTACTTACTGATGACTATTTTAAATATTTAAAATAAAGAATAAAAAAGGCAGGTAAAAATAGAACTTATATAAATACTGCATGCAAAAGAGAAAGATACACACTAAAATATTTAAAGCAATTTATCTCCTAATGGTGAAATTATTGATGTCTTTATTTTTATGGTCTATCTTGACAATAATAAATAGTATATTAAATAGTGAATTTTTTCATTTAAATATTAAACTAAGAAAAAAAACTTTTGACCCTTCTTAATAGCTAAGGTTTGCTAAATATTAAGTCACAGGTACTAGTCTATATGCTCTATATGTACATTCATTTTTAAACTCTATAAAAATACTAAGGGAATAAAGAACTTTATGCTCTTTTCCAGATTCAAATAATACTATTTCCTTTTACTGGCCATCTAGCCATAAGCATGATACTTAACCAGTCTGACTATATTTTTCATTCTTAGAAAATAAGAATATTATCATTATTCATGTCTTGAAGAATTGCTTTAAAATTAAACAAAATGAAAGACCAACAGCTGGCATAGTGATTAAGGTGCTGGACTCTCACTAGGGAGAAATGTTCACCTGTTGAAATATCCATTTTGTAAGATAAATAATAATGTGATTGAATGTATGGAAGAAAATGAAATGAAAATAAATAATTAAAAAAAAAAAAAGGTGCTGGACTCTCACATGGCCAAGTGCAGTTCAAGTCCCAGACCCAGCAGCTTGAAAACCACACTAGGCACATGTGCACGAAAATCCCAAAAGGTGAATGGAGGAGAAGGGACTGCAGTATAGCAGTTGACTTAGAACTGACTTCTCAATTTCCCTCTCACTGTTCCTCTCTGTGTCTCTCCAGAGAGTGTACATACACATCCTATGGCAAAAACCTTTAAAAATGTTTTAAACAATTAAAATTATTAACTACAGTGTCTAGTATAAAAATCAAGAAATGTTAACTACTATTATAATCATGATGATGGCAATGTAATGTATGCTAGAAACTGGACCTTAATATTCACGATATTTTCAATATAATTGGCCAGAGAGACAAACAATGCCAAGTGTTGATGGGTACTCATTACGGATTCTGAAAGTATCCATAGAGGGGGCACCTAAGCCAAATAGAATTAGTAAAGGTTAGAGGGGCAAAGTTCAAAAAAAGCTTCCAGAGGGACCTGTAGTTGATGTAATGGCTATGCTGCTGGACTCCCATGTAGTTGACCACAGTTCAAGTCCCATACTCAGTGCTTCAACTCACACCGGGCACGTGTGTGTGCATGCCCAGGATCCCAAGAAGAAAATGAAGGAGAAGGGATTGTGATGTGGCCATCCTCCCTGTAAGGTGGTTTCTTGCTTTTTCTCTCTCTTGTCTCTCTCTGTCTTTCTGGTGAGCACACGCATCCTATAGCAAAAACCACTACAAAAAAAAAAAAAAAAAAAGAGAGAGAGAGAGAGAAAGAGAAAACTTCTAGAAAGCGACAGTTAAGTTGAAATATTTGAAAAACAGTATGAATTAGCAAGAGTAATAGGAATTATTAGAAGAGAAAAGATGAAAGATATGTGAAAGAACACACACAAAGGCAAAAATTTAAAAAAAAATAGGATTATGCATTCAGGAATCTAAAAGAAAATGTACTTCACCAGGATGAGGTTTAAGGAAGGTGGCAAAACAGATGTGATTTGAAAGAGATTAAAAAACATCATAATACCATTTATATAACTTGCTCAGTTTTATGTTTCATGAGTCATGAAGACCATGGAACAATGAAGCATGTTAAGCAACAGAATTATTCCAGGTTTTTTTCAATTTTTTTTTAAGTTTTGTTTTTGTTTTTGCTATAGTGTTCATGCATTTGTGAGAGAGAGAGAGAAAGTGAAAAAGTACCCCTTAGGAGAGATGGCCATGCATACACCACAATTCCTTTTCCTCCATTCTCCTTTCAGGATTTTGGCCATGCATACATGCAGCCTACTTCCATTTAAAACACACACACACAAAGCACTTTATGCTCTGCCTGTGGTTAAGACAGCTAGATCCCACAAGGCTGACCACATAACTTGAGCCTCAGACTCATCGGCTTGAAAAACATGCTAGGCACATGTACATACATGCCCAAAATCCTGAGAAAAGAATGGAGAAAGAACTGCAGTGTGGCCATTCCCCCTGCGGGAGGGGGTGCTTTTTCAAGTTTCTTTCTCTCTCCAGCAAGTGCGTGCATCCTACAGCAAATTAAAGGAAGAAAAAGGGACCAGCAGTTAGTGTAATGGCTATGTCGCTGGACTCCCATGTAGTTGATCGTGGTTCATGTCCCGGACCCGGTGGCTTAAAACTCACGCCGGGCGCGTGTGCATGCGTGCCCAGGATTCTGAGAGAAGAGTGGAGGAAATTGCAGCATGGCCATCCCCTCTGGGGGGTGATTTCTCACTTTCTGTCTCTATGTTTTTCTCTGTCTGTCTGTCTGGCGAGCACACACGACGTAGCAAAAACCTCTCCAAAAAAAAACACACAAAACTTCATAGAATAAAAGAGTCAATGGTCCTAATCTGGGGAAAGCAAATAAGCAAAGTAGATTTAAAGACAGAGAATTATGAAGACTGACTGTGATATCCATTACGATGGTATTTCTTACTGTCTGATAACAGATGTTGCCTGTAAAAAATCATAATCATGGGACCAGCAGTTGGCGTAATGGCTATGTCGCTGGACTCCCATGTAGGTGACTACAATTCAAGTCCCGGACCTGGTGGCTTAAACTTATGCCAGGCACATGTGCATGCGTGCTCAAGATTCCAAGAGGAAAATGGAGGAGAAAAGACCGGAGAGTGGCCATCCCCCCCGGGGGGTGATTTCTCACTTTCTGTCTTTCTCTGTCTTTCTGGTGAGCACACATGCCCTATAGCAAAAAAAACTCTCCAAAACCAAAAAAAATCAAAAAGAAATCATAATCACGACCTAGCCCTAGACCTCACGGGAACTGAACATATACTGTCTAAATGTTCAAAAAAGCTCCAAACCAAAATTTAAAAGTACTCATAAATTCTCCCAAGGATCCCAGAAGAAGCAAATGCAAACTTTTTCTGTAAAAATATACTTCTAATTCGGATATTAATTTCTACAGATAAATTTACCTGACCTCAAAATCAAAAAACACAACAGGAATAGAGTCAGCCATCTCTGTTGGCTAAATGAACAAAAGGCCAACTTAGCCATGCAAAGATTTCAGATTCCAGAATTATTAGCTATTAAAAAAAATTAAAGTATTGTAATATTCTTTAAAAACTACATGAAATAAAGAACATATCAGCAAACCAAATAAAATTTCTATTTTGTCAGAAAATTCATGACATATCTTTCTGTGTCTTTCTATGCAAAAATGCTTCATTGACTTTTCCAACAACCCAACAGAAATTATATATAGAGGGACCAGCAGTCAGTGTAATGGCTATATCACTGAACTCCCATGTAGTCAACCGTGGTTCGAGTCCCGGACCCAGCGGCCTAAACTCACTTCGGGTGCAAGTGCGTGCATGCCCAAGATCCTGAGAAGAGACAGGAGGAGAAGGTATTGCAGCGTGACCATACCCCCCTGGGGGTGATTTCTCATTTTCTGTCTCTCTATCTCTATCTTTCTGGCGAGTGCACATGCCCTATAGCAAAAACCTCTCCAAAAATAAAAAGAAATTATATATAGAACTGAAACTGAAAACTCCATTGGGGTAATGGTGAGCTATGTCATTCAAACACTCCTCTAAAAAGAAGTAAAAATTCAAGATCAAATATTAAGAACAGTGATAACATTGAATTCCTGAGAAAACAGTAACTTACCAGATCAAAGTGAAGAAAAATTGAAACTTAATAAAGTAACCATAGAACCTGCATTTGCCCTGAAAGCATTTGAAAATCCTAGCAAAGTTGAACTTTTAAATTAAAATTATAATGGGGTTTTTTGGGGGGGGAGAGGTTTTCGCTACAGGGCGCATACGCTCGCCAGACAGAGAGAGACATAGAGACAGAAAGCGAGAAATTACCCCCCAGAGGGGATGGTCACGCCGCAATCCCTTCTCCTCCATTCTCCTCTCGGGATCTTGGGCACGCACGCACATGCGCCCGGTGTGACTTATAAGTCACCTAGTCCGGGACGCAACATAGCCATTATGCTAACTGCTGGTTCCCTATAATGGGGTATTTAAAGCTTGACTATTCTGGAGTCAGGGAGATGTATATGGAGATGCGGCAGACACCCACCCTCATGCACATAAGCTATGAATGCCTAAAGAGCTCTCATCTTTACTTGTGTGTCTCTCAGCTCCTTAAGTAGGAGCACTGTGTGTCTACTGGATAAAAGAACTGAGTGAGAAAAAATTAAATTAAATTAAAATGAAATAAAGAAATATGAGAGCCTGAAGACTATACAAGGTAGAGGGAGTAAAAGATTTATCTGTTGTCCAATAGGCTCGGACACTCCTGATATGAGGAATCAAAAGTAAGTCAATCTCCAGGTAGATTTGCAACCCAGGTTCACATTGCTGGACTAGTTCAAGAAAACCAAGCCTTAAAACTGATTTAAGAGAGGCCAGCAGGTGGTGTGGTGGTTAGGGTGCTGGACTCCCACATGGCTGACCATGATTCTGGTTCTGGATCTAGTAGCTTGGGC